TGTGATGGGGGAAAGGGCGTCCTAAGTGAGGGGAGGGGTGATTGGGGGCCCACTCCCCCTGGGGTCTGGGTTGTTGGGCTTGTTATTAAGGGTCTTGACACCATTGCCCCTATTGTTTGGCCTGGTAGAGGGGTAGGAAAGCTGTGAGGCAGTCGGAAGGACCACTGATCCTCTTGCGCTGCCCAGTTTTTCCATATTAGCTTTCCATTATCCTGCACTTCTGCTAGCTATACGTGGGGATCTATCCAGAGTTTCCGGAAGGCCGTAATGGCCTGTTGTTTTACTTTCTCTGTCTGGGCTTGCGGTCAACACTTCAGCCAATTTTCTGCTGGCTTTCAGCAAGTTTGCCCGGAGAACCTCCACCAGCTCTGCTTTAGCTTGGTGATAGCCAAAGGCTACATCTTGGTGTTCCCCTGAGCATCTCATTCGCCATATTACCATGACTACTGCCAACCTCATATGTCCGAACAGGTTCCGTTGGAAGGGGGTCCAGGCTGCGGGGAAGTTTCTTCGTTTTCCCAGGAGGATGAGTGCAATGTCCTAGTGAAACATGGTGCCTGTGAGGGCATGCCACATTGCGTCCCACCATTGCCAAATCCTTATTGCCATCGGGCATGCAAGCAAACAGTGTTCCAGGTCAGCTTTGCGGCTTTCGGTGCCGGACCCGCATTGGGAGCAGATAGGGGGCAGGATACCTGCTTGTTCCAGGCTAGATCTGGAGGTCACCCAATCCGGAGTCGGGAGGCAGCGGTGCATTATTTGCCATTGCAATGCTCTATGGGAGGTGGGCATTATGTGTCCATAGGTTGTCCATGGAATATGTCTCAAGCTTTCCTCTTCTACCGGGGAATCCCTCTTCCATCTGTGTTGAACTATCTGTGTGGATGAATTCTTAACCACTACAACCATGGCATGGCGTACGAAAATGCATCCGTGCCGGACGTGATATCCAACCCACTCCTACATGGCTGTAGTGTCCTTCAACTCACACCTACCCACACACATACAACACCACACTCAGGCATGCACCACACAGGCAGGCAGTTCTTGCTCACTCAGCTCCCATCCAGCACGACTGCTTTTCCAATGGGGCTTTACCCATGGCGGTGCAATTTTTGTCTCTAATGCCTTTCATAATATTCATATTAGTTTTCTCTAATGCCTTCCAAAACAGGTGTATATTGAGTATAGCGTTATGGAAGCCTGGTTTGCTTGTTAAAAAAAAAAAAGAATAAATCACATACAATAGTGCATACAGTACAATTGTCCCCAGGACTGATGATTCGGTGTCTGGCGAGCGGATGAAACGATCATAGGGACATCGCCAGCATGGCACTCTGTTATCACTTGTTCATATTGTATACATGTGCCTGTGTCTGTATCGCGGGTGCTTGATTCTTGGGAGGAATGAGTCGGGCTCTCGCAAGAGGCCCACGGCCTACAACAGAATGGGCCTCCCTCAAGACCGTCCTCGCCCTAAGTGAACGCGGACCTGCATTTTCTCTAAGCGGCCTTTTCCTGGCCGAATCTGAAGTTGGGGGCACCACGGACAGTTACCTCAAGCCAGTTGGTTACCGGGCCTAGGCCTGCGAGGGCACGCCATCACGAGCCTTCTAGGAAATCGGCGAGTGACGCTGGCCACGTCGGACAGACAGTTGGGTTGCTTAACTGTTGTGGGCCCAGGCGGCTATCTGCATTGGGCCTGGGCGCAGACACTTCGGCCCGATGCCAGGCTACTGGGAACTCGGCCTCCTGCCCGGAAGTTGGGCAACACAGAGGAGCACTTTCCATATAGGAAAGTGCTGGGCTATGGGAGGCTCATTCTGGCTGCAAGCGACCTGGCTGACACTGCTGGATTGTGGTGGGCAGGCCGCTGGCGCACTGGCCAGAGGGCGCACGCAGGCGCTAGCGGTGGAGGTGGTGGCACTGCGGGCAGGCAGTGAGCGAGGCAGCCATAGCCGGGCTTGCCTCGCTGTGGCTGGTGTGGGCGATGGTGGTCTTCGGGTAGGAGGCACACAATGTTGGGAAGAAGATAATGAGGGAAGAGGGAGAAGATACACGCCTGATGTGTATGCAGCAGTCTGCACTGGCTTCTTCATGTGCATTGGTCTTCGACTTGAAGTGATCCTTTGTTGCTTCGTCATGTAGTGGTAGGCTTGTATTGGTTCTGACTCCTGAGTGTTGATAGGCTGGGCGCTGGGCGCCGATCAAGAAGAGGCGCGCGACATTGGATACATTGTTGATGGTGGTGGCGATAAGAGGCTGTCGTTGACATTTGAGTTCATTGCATTGCTCTAAGGTTTGGCTTGAATCTCAGTGCATTCTGCTTTCATCTTGGGACACGACTATTGGGTCTTCAGTGTGATGTTGCAATTTGGTTTTCTGTCTATCGCTCTTGTTCATTTCCCTTGCAATTTGGTATCGGAGCTGGTTTAGATATCCCCAGTGTACTGGCGTTAGTTACTGTCTTGGTTACTTGGTGCGCTGACTCGAAAAGACCCAGGAGTCAAAACAGAATTATTCACAATGTAATGTCAAGAATCACACGAGCGCAGGCACTCAGGATGCCAGGTGTTGCAGAATAAGCAGACACCCTGTAGTAGGGTGAAGAGGCATCATCGGCCTAGACCACCTATCTTAATCTTACTTCGGCAAAGTTAAAACCCCCCGGTTTTATCAGAGCAAAAAAAATTAATGCTGAGTGACGACTGTTCGGGCAATTGCCAATAATTGTAACCATAGGGTCGCTGGACCCATTTTCCAGCAGGCGCAGATCCCCACCAATAGATCGGAGCAACCAGAAAGTCTATCACCTTCCCTAGCATCCAGACTGGTTCTCCTTGAAAAAAAAAAAAAAAAAAAAAAAAAAAAAAAAAAAAAAGAATCACAGGAGCTTCGTCGTCACTTCAAAAACAGCCTCCTTGAATGACAAAAATAGCCGGAGATTTTTTTGGAACTCCATCCCGGCTCGTGGAGCCGGGCCCAATGGACCAGGCTGGTCACTGGGTCTGAAAAAGGTCTCTGGCCAAAGTAGCACAATCAGCCCGGCACCTGCCCACTGCATCTGCACAGGAGGTGGCTTTCCTGGCAGGTTTGGCTGGCCCAGGTGCCCGGCCAAACAGCCTAGAAAAAGACAGAAAAGAAAACCAAAACAGCGTAGAAAAATGACAGAAAAGAAGGACATTCTAGAGGATTTCCAGCCAACTCCATGCAAAAACAAAACTACTTTTTCCCCCCTTGGGGGATGAGCAACAAAAAGGCATTAAAAAAAAAAAGTAATACTCTGATCATTTTTCTCGGCCTTTTGGGTAAGAATCTAGTGGTTAGAGCACCGGTTGGAAATGCGCATTGTGGTATGAGGTTGCGGGTTCAAAACTCAATTGCAACCTTGCGCATGGACACCGGCAGGGCGTTAGATTAATGCATGGCTGGACATACACTCCCTTGGGCTGACGCATGGTACTATTACAAACACTGCCTGCGCACCACCCAAGGGTTGTTCATGGTGTTGTATGTTGGTTCTGGGTTTCACATGAGTTGCTTGGGGGTGATGGTCTTGGGTGTTCT